CAAATGTACATAGTACATACATACATTTGTACAGATTCAGCCTTTTTTATGTTTATTTCTCCTTTTTTTATTCAACTGATCTCTTAACACTTCTTCACAAGACGATAGGAKGAGTTCGCCCTCTCTCTAGAACATCCAGCGTCCCTGCGTTTAAATTAGTTCATTTTCGCTTTCAAAGCATTCATCAGTTATGCGCTGTTACTTCGAATAGTTACACCTGCATATCAATGCTGCGCAAAGATCTCGCACACACACACGCTCATGCGTTCCTATATGCGTGTCATAAGCTGTGTGCTCAGCAGGAGAAATAGCTGCGTGCTCATCATTGAGAAATGGAACAGAGTGACGTTATGATTGTTTGCATTGTTGTGGCAAATATTTTAATGTGCGAAGTTGACCTTCAAAATATTATGCATATTATTAGCTAAGAGTTSTGATAGATTTTAGAAGAGTTTCGWATTGAGAATCGTGGAATGCAAAATTAAGGGGAAATTAGCTGAATTATTCCAGGAATGCAATGTAACTGTAAAAATACTTACTTGCAAGTGGWAATGAGAGTGAACACACGTAGTTTTTGATTGTTGGTGCGAATATTTGTTAAAATTGGTGAAAAGTTTTTGTTTAAAGTGTTAAATTGTGTTTTTATTTAATTTAAAGTTAGAATCGTTATTAAGTGCAAAAAATAGTGTCGTGAAAGTCGTAGTGCGTTAGAAWMCTCGAAAGTACGAGTTTTTGTTCAAATTCAGTAAGTGCGTAGTCGGGTTTGTTCGTGGGTGTGTATTTTWTTGTATTGTATTTGTATGTAATAAGCTTCACGAGTTTCGCGGTTGGCTTACGTCGCGTGTGTCGGGTATTAGGTGCTACAGTGTTGTTATAAGAAATAGCGCATGGTGTAATATTGACAGGGCAAGTTTAAAAAGGGTGAGYTTTTAACCAAATTATTTGAAATGCATATATATAATTACTATTTGTTTTATAGTAAATTCCTAACTGTATGTACGGGTCGATTTTTTTACTAAAGAGCGCTTATGTAGGACCAGTAATTCTGTAAAAACTTAGTAAAAAATTAATTATATTTGAGTTTTTTACATTTTTTAAAATTTTTTTTATCTTTTTTAATTAAATGATTTTGATTTTCCTTAAATCGTCATATTATTCAGAACACAACATAAAAAAAATGTTTTGCTTCTTTGAATTTATCAACTGATTCTAGTTAATTTGGGCGCGCTGAATTCAAATCTGTAATCAGTTTGTCTCTATTAGCTCTAATTTTCATGATATACATAGCTTTTTTATACTCTCCATTTAATTCATGACCTGAAAAATTTTTAGTATCCTT